GCACTCAACTAGAGGTTATAATTAGTAAAACGAGACTGATCTGGTGACTGAAAATAACCAAAGAATACCAAAGTGATCAAAACAATTATAGGGACTGCACAAGCTTTTATCCAGGGCAACAAAACAATTAGCCATAGAGTTGAGAGTGGAAATTATAGGAAAATAAATTCTTTTGCTTGACTCTATGGAGTCCTGCTTATTTCAAAGTAGTAGTTATAAGGTGAGTTGGTTTCTCAGGTACACAGTCATATCATCTGAAGAAAATGATAATCTTACATCCTCTTTTCTAATTTTTAACCTAATTTTTCCTCTTGTCTAAGTGCTTTGGTTAACACCTACAGCACAATGTTACATAACAATGGCAATGGTATATACCCTTGTCTTTTTTCCAAATTTACTGAGGATGTTTCATAATATTCCTGATTAAACAAAAGGTTAGCTACTGAACATAAAATTCATTTTATTCCTTTTAAATTTATTTTCCACTTCAGTATACTACCTCCCTAGACTTATTCCCATTAATAGTGGGCAATAATCTTCATTATAGAGATGATGAGTGTAATTAGATGTTGATGGGAGAGGGGAATCAGATACTGTCTGGGCTTTGGCACAGGAAAATGGATTGAAAAGGCTCAGCCTTTTTCTGAAGAAATTCAGACAGAAAGGCCTTAAGCAGAATAGACTTGGAGACTGATTCTCATCCTGATTTTCTCAGCCTCTGTATCAAACACATTTTTTAAGTTGAGAATTCCAAATTTTGTTCCTCAGCTCCAAATTTATACCTTCAGAAAACACTGTTCCTACTCTGAGTACTCTACCTTGGTACACTCTAATTTTCAGATAATCGAATCATAAAATGAATAGCCTTATGATTTGGTGAGTTCCCCAAGATTAGAAGTGTTGAAACACAACTGAATAAAGATATTTTTTCTACTAGTTAGAGGAAAAATCCAAAAACTCTAGCTACCCGCCATGTCCTCCACCCACTTCTGTGACAAAGCAAGGTTCTTTTGCTTAATATTGCTTTGATTTGAGCTGTAAGTATTAACTCTAAAAACCAAAAAGAGATTAAGAGATAAAAAAAATGGTGAGAAATTATAACCTATGTGTAATTAGAGCCTAAGAAGAAGAGGAGAGAAAATGAGGCAGGGCCAATCTATGAAGATGGCTGAAGATTTTCCTGAACACCTATCCACAAATTCAAAAACTTTTAACAAATTGCAAG